TAAGATCGCTCGAATTGGAACTCTTTCAGAGTGATCGGATTTTAGTAAAATATGTCGCATTTTAAAGGTTTTGGATTATACTATGAATGAGCAAAAATCCATAGAATTTGGTTCATTGTAGATTATGAAATAGTCGTGTTAGTGAAAAATAGCGTTGAATCTTTGTATGTCATAGGTCAATTACCGGGTTATTACAAAATGACGTCCACTCTTGAGAGGGTGGGTCCAAGAATTTGTTATAGTACGGTTCAAGTAATTGTGACAGTACGTGTAATTGATAAAAGAGAATACATGACATCGGCAGGGGGATATGGAGCTAGATGTGCCTTATTTTAATCACCCCTCAGAACTCTGTGCAAAATTGTATTAATCATTTATTTCATCCAAAATTATCATCAGAGGATCCTCGTTCAAGAATGATGATAAAAAAATAAGTCCTATAACCTTGAATATTTGTTTAAACCTTTATTCACTTTCAAAATTGTAATTCAAAAATAGGACTTACTTTCAACTATATCTGAATCACCGTAGCAATTTCGTTGTAATTTCTTTTTATCGAAGTCTTCCTGTACTCCTCCTCACATCCCCATATCTCTACAGATGTTTTAGAATTTTATCCATAACTACTATTACTTCTCTCCTTTAAACATTCTCCTCAGCATTTCCAAATCAATCTCCCCCTGGTATGATGTCCAAAAATTAATGTTCTCCTTTAAAGTTACTTTGGAACTGTTTTCAGATACAGGTTGCTTTAGAATTATTATCGGTATTCGCTTGGAATTCATGCCAGGAGTTCTTTGGGGCTCATATATTAAGTTTCATTTATTTACTAGGAACCCCTTAGAAATGTCATTGTACTACTCCCCACAGTTCCTTTGAAATGTTGCTCTGAATTTACTTTAGTATACTCCTGGGCTTTTCCTTACAATTCCAATGAAGTTCTTCTCAGTTTTTGTTTGTACTTTTACTTATAACACGTTTGGAGTTTTCAAAAGAAGCGATCTGAAGTTTTCAAGTATCTTTCAATAATTTCAATGAAATCCTTCACGGAAGTCCGTAACAATACTTTCCAAAATTCCCTAGATGATCGTTCATTTCAGGTGACCGAATACTATTCAAATGGAATGAGAACTCTACTATGTTTTCGTACTCAGATCAAGCATACGTCATATTTTTCCGAGTATACCACTTGTAGAGTCCTATAAGTAGAGATAAATTACGTTCTATTCTACAAAAAAAAAGCACTTCCAAAGGATCGAACTCTCGATCTTCTGCTCAGTAAGCAAAACCGGTCACCACTAGGTTACTAAGGAAAATACACAAGCGAAGGCATTCACATAGAATAAGCTCCTTCACCAGACCGCTGCCGCAACCATGCAACACTCTACCTCAAGACCGTGGATACAATCTGACATCTGGAACCTCAATGCGATATTCTAAGACATACATTTTTAGTAAGAACACTTGCATGAACAATCTTTCTTGTCGACTTTTACAATGAATCCTCTGTATTAAATCACACCTCACCATACTGGCCAAACCCTTGTACAAATGCTACTAGGAGTTGTTCATAAGCTTCTACGACCGTCAATCATCTATACACATTTTTGGAAATTTATATGGACCGTAGACAATCGCCAACCTCCGCTCCCCAAAATTATCTACGTGGTTTATAAACAGCCCCTTAGTTGATATATCATCACTAAAGGGTGATACGGTCAAAATTTGGTCAATATCAACTTGACGTATTTCTTTCAATTTTGCATTTAAAAAACCTGAACACCCCTCATTTTGAAGGTGTGTGTGTTTAGAATGTTGCTCCTATTTTGATTTTGGAATTCACTCTTCAGTTGTCAAAATGCCGTCCAAGCAAGAAGAGCAGCGTATCAAAATTTTGCTCGCGCATCGCGAAAATCCGAGCTACTCGCACGCAAAGTTGGCAAAATCGCTAAAAGTTGCCAAATCAACCGTTACAAATGTAATTAAAGTGTTTGGGGAACGTTTGTCGACAGCCAGGAAGTCTGGATCGGGAGGAAATCGAAAACCGGAAGCCGCTGAGACGACAAAGAGAGTTGCCGGTAGTTTCAAGCGAAACCCTAACCTCTCTCTCCGAGATGCCGCAAATAAGCTGGGTGTATCGTCTACAACCGTGCATCGAGCCAAAAAACGAGCCGGACTATCGACTTACAAGAAGGTAGTGACTCCAAATCGCGATGATAAACAAAATACGACGGCCAAAGCGCGATCCCGGAGGCTGTACACGACGATGCTGACGAAGTTTGACTGCGTGGTAATGGACGACGAAACCTACGTCAAAGCCGACTACAAGCAGCTTCCGGGACAGGAGTTTTATACGGCAAAAGGAAGGGGAAAGGTAGCAGATGTTTTCAAGCACATGAAACTGTCAAAGTTCGCAAAGAAATATCTGGTTTGGCAAGCCATCTGTACCTGTGGCTTGAAAAGCAGCATTTTCATAGCTTCCGGGACTGTCAACCAAGAAATTTACGTGAAAGAGTGTTTGAATAAACGTCTGCTGCCTTTCCTGAAGAAACACGGTTGTTCCGTACTGTTTTGGCCGGATTTGGCATTTTGCCATTACGGTAAAAAGGCCATGGAGTGGTACGCCGCCAACAACGTGCAGGTGGTTCCCAAGGACAAGAACCCTCCCAACACGCCAGAGCTCCGCCCAATTGAGAAATACTGGGCTATTGTCAAGCGGAACCTAAAGAAGACCAAAAAACTGCTAAGGGCGAGCAGCAGTTCAAGGCAAACTGGCTTTCTGCGGCGAAGAAGGTGGACAAGGTGGCTGTACAAAATCTGATGGCAGGGGTCAAGCGTAAGGCCCGGCAATTCGGATTTGGAAAAGTGGAAGCCTAACTGAATATTTTTCCTGAATTTTATACTAATTGAACTTGAAAAAGAAATTTAATTTGATTTTTTAAATAAACGATTTCACCGATTTACACGCGTTTTCCCTTGACCAAATTTTGACCGTATCACCCTTTAGTCCAGCTAAGGTCTGTATCCACAACAATCCGGACAGCTTCACATCACTGTAACTTTTTGAAATATTGCACGTAGTAGTGAAAGATTTTGCTGAGGCATTGCTGGGAGTCATTAATGATAAAGACTATTATTGGTGTTTACATTTCATGTTTAGTGTTCAAGATGGCGACGAATGAAAAACACGTGCCCGAATCCTGACTTGTCAATACGGGAAATTGCAAAAAAAAAATGGATTTATCTAAATGAGAGGAAACCGAGAAGTGATAAATACATGATCATGGACCGAAATTAATCTCTCAGTTCGAACGGTGGCTCGTATAATAGGAAGGTGGTTGTCCAAAAATCAAATATGCGGGGCTGAAGTCTTATAAAATAAAAACAGTTCCAAATCGCAACGACAAACAGAATTTGACAGCAAAATCACGGGTTCGACGTTTGTACTGCGAATATTTGATGAAGTTTTCATGCGTTGTTATGGACGATGAAACTTATGTCCTGCTATTCTGCTATGGCCAAAAATGCTACAGCTGAGTATTTCAGGACGAATAAGGCATCGAAATTTCTCAAAAAATACCTTATTTGGCAAGCAATTTGCACATGTGGCCGAAAGAGTAAATCTTTCGTCACTACAGGCATAATCAACAAGGAGATTTATCAGAAAGAGTGTCTACAGAAACAATTGCTACCCAAAAGGCATAAAGAAAACCCTTTGTTCTTACCCGATTTGGTATCATGCCATTATGCTAAAATTGTGATGGAGTGGTACGAAGAAAATCAAGTGAATATTGTACCAAAAACCACAAACCCGCCAAATTGTCCAGAGTTACGTTGGATCCAGAGATATTGGGCTCTGATGAAGCGGAAGCTTTCTGGAATCAAAGATATCAAACACTTCCAAAAAATTTAGACAGAGATGGCCACCATGGTATCTGAGAAGTCAGTACAAACCCAAATAGATGGATTTAAGCGCAAAGTTCGAACATTTTATGCAAATACCGAATAACTATGTTTTGATTTCGTGAATTTTTAAGTCATATCTCATGAATCTGAAATAAACAACTACAATTGAAATATAATGCAAAATTTGTGTTTTACTTAAGTTTTTATGTTTCCGGATTATTGTGGATACAGACCTTACCAGGTGAAACATTTCCCGCACGGCGCACTTTTAATCCCATATCACATCAGGATTAATTCATAGACAAACAGACGTAACTCTTTGAATATGTTTTTCTTGAAAACATACTATCTCAACATATAGAACCTTAGTAACGACATAGCTCGGGCTTCTCGCGGAAAACAAGCTTGCTCGCTAAGTCACAAACAATATTGCATGCAAGGTAAACAGAACATATAGAAACATCATAGTGATCCGATGCCGGCGCTGCGGTGAGTAGTTCGCGAAAATGATAATATTAGAATCAATCGTTAAATGCGTGAACGAAGATCCAGAATGAAGTGTTACGTATGTTTGTCTGTGATTAATAGTAAGCCTACAATTAATGGCTCATCCCATTCTGTGTGGCTGGCACCTTAATCACAACTCCACTATGTTGTTGGTAATAAAGTACCTCTTAATTTTGACTCCTTTGGACCGCAAAACCCCTCCATCCCGTATGGCAGACACTGTTTTCAAGAGCCGAAAATAATGTTCACATCTCACATCTTCTGTCCATCTGTGTTTCCCCAAAATAAACCCACCAATTGAGATGCCTCTTCGTAAAAGTCCCATCTCTACTCCACCGAAAAACACCATCCGCTGGCAATTTAACCAAACATCTATAAAAGCGATCGCGCTGATTAGAGGGGCCATCACTTGCTACCGTGAAGCCGTTCGGTCAATCTGTTTTACGAATTTCTCCAGTGCATTGAAAACGTGCGCGCTCGCCTCACCAGTCATCAACCGCCGCTTCAAGTCAGTGTGAAAAGTGCGCTGCTCTGTGACTCTATCGCCGTCGCCGGAGTTTGCAAGAAGAAAAGGAGCATATCGAAGTAAAAATAAAAAGTTCGCACCATTTCCGCGTACCTTTCTGTGTAAAAGTAGAAAATCCAGTTGGACCCAACCAGACCGAGTGATCGCGATCTTCAAGCTCAGAGCTTTCACGACATCGCAACGTTTGCATTCAATTGCAATCCAGCAGCCTTCAGGCCATCTTGTACGGCAGTTCCGATCAGTGGTTTACAGTGCAAGGGGAAATTTGCGGTTTGGTAGGTTTTCCGGAAGTATTCACCTGGGAGTTTGAAAAGTGTGTTGCTTGAATAGAGGAAACAGGACTGAAGTGAGGTTAGGCATGAACTGGTGATATTTTTTCAATGGATGGCAGTTGTAGAAAAAATCAAACAATGTTGTTCCAATGAAAGGTAGCATTGTATGGACTCTTGAAATGTGTTAATATATTGTTAACTGCGAGAAGTGATTGCAAACAACATGAAAAAAATGTATGGACTGTTAGTGAATTGAAAAAAAGATTTCTTCTCATGCAGCTTATACCCAACGAAAAAACGGGGTGTATTAAACATCATGATTAGATGCGAGCAATGTGTCGATAACTGTGTGTAAGGTGATTCCTTGTAGCGTTCTTTTTCGAATTATAATTCGGAATTTCTCTAGTCAAAATATTAAGGCTTTTGTGAGCTACGTGCACTGAAACTATTACTTGTTGTATGCTGCGGAGAAAAAAACAACGTCTGAAATTTACAGGTTTATAAACCTAGTAAATTTTGAGATTTGTGCTTCTGAAATTGTGAAGAGTGATAAGAAAAAGTACTCTACAAGGAACCACCATTTCATATTCAGAAACATGCAAAACCATTTTTTTTTGCTAATGCCGTGAAGCATTGAAATCCGAATACTTTTAATAGTTGATGATCAATGTCTGCCACGTTCAAAATAGCACGTACATTTTATCATGGTCTCTTAGAATCGGTCTGAATCATCGCACATGGTTATTAAGTTTCAAAAGGGTCGTAATAATTAATGAAAAATTAAATGTCCGGATTAACGAATCAGTCGGTATTCGGTGCATTACGGTACTAACTGATTAGAACATTTGAGCTACGATAATATTGGCGTTAAGCATTATCTTCACGACGTATCAATGATCTCATAGTCATTATTAACCAATCTGGGTACAATATTACTGATATTGAAAACTAACTACACATTTCACACCAAATTGTTTTGATATTTACAATACATAAATGTAACTATTGGTATAATGAATACATTAATATATAGGTTTAGCAAAAATACATTAACATATAGGTCTGGCAAAAAAAATCGCGTTTGAATGATTTGTCTTGACTGTTATTATTGTCTCATTGATGGACAGTACAGGGAGTAGATATTATAACAAACTTAATCACGCTTGCTGCTTTAAAATAAATGAATGAGTTTTGATTGATTGGTGTTTAATTAGTGACAATAAGTTTACCCAGATTTTTTTTATTGCATAGAGCAGGTTCGATGAGCTCCATTAATTAGATAAACAAAGTGAATAGAGATTTGGTAGCTTCATCAGCATGTTTGATTTTCGTGTTTAATACAACTTTACCGAAGACAGTTTCTCAGTATCAAAAACAATGTGAAATTGTAGTTATTATCATTTTTTTTTTATAATTAAGCAGAAAACTTCAGATAGTATTCATAATTCCACGTACCGAATGCCATTTGATCGTTGTGACTTCCATTAGATCAATTGCAAGCATCAACATTGAAATGTCAAAGCTAGTTTGATACAATCTTTTCAAAGTGTTTTTATGTTACTTCATACGCATAGTTTGCGATTTTCAGAGTTGGTAGGAAATGCTATCTAACATAAAGCTTTTTAGTGTGATAATTTATTAGGTAGGTAGATAGTTCCGTTAGAGTACGGGAGTATGAAAATTGAATAGAAGTTGAAAATGAAGGGCAATTAATGCGACAGTGCAAGTCAAACGCGCACGATGTACGCGTAGATTTGTTATGTGTCTAATCTTGATTTTTCTGGGAAATTTTCTCAGCTACAACTTTGCCGTTTTTCAGCCAAAGTTCAAATTAAATAGTTATTAATTGTTTAAGAGATTGATAATCTGATAATAATTGATCAAGCAGCTGTTTTTGTGGAAAACACTATATTCTGCAGTGTGAAATAGAAGCCATGATTTTTGTCCTCTATTCTTCGCGCCAGAAACACCGATGTTGGCTGCTGAACAGTTGACTGAGCATAATCATAACACATCAGTGACTTGAATCATTAATAATTGTTGTTACTTACATTTGATCGGAAAGCGGTGTTCGACAATGTTGTAGATGAGTGATTACTGGTCTCAGTAGTGTTCGGTCCCGAACAGAGGGACAAAAAAAACATGAAACAGAGACAGTAGGTACGATTTAACTGAAATTTCGTTAGAGTACGTTTGCAGGAGATGGGACTTGCGTAGCGTTCCGTGACTGTATACAGTAGAGGCATTTTTTTTTAATTCATACACAGATTATAAGGTAAACTTTTTGTTTACATATTATGGGAAAAAATTGTTCGGCAGACTTTGGAACAATCGAACTGGACTCGAGTACTGATTAATTCGAACTACAATTCAAAGGAACGTCTTTATTTGTCAGTAGAACTGACTGTAAAGTAGAATGTACAGTAGAATAGACTGATAAGAACTGAAGAAATGAAGTTATGCGCTATAAGCAAGGCATGCTGCGTTGTATATACTAAACAATTGCTCATTGTAAAACATTTTTAAACTGTTAAAATGTGCACTGTTGGCACGGCATGCAAAAGATCGTATAATATTGATTGGTTAAAATGTTAAAAACCGTTTGTTTTTAAACAGGAATACTATCCATACCCTACTCAGTAGATAGCAGCTAAGCTAAGATGTTAGTTAATGAGAATTTTGAAAGAATTATCGATCTCATTGAAAATAGAAACAATTTTAAGTTCTCCAAAACAAAACACCTCATTTCTTTAATTAACAAAAATATTACACACGACTCAATCAAAATGGACTCCAGCTTTGCCTGGTTATATTCTTTTCCTCAAAGTGACTAAATATAGGTGTTCTAATGTGTCAAAATCATGATTCAGCCATGTTGGATTTTTGTATGAGACAGCGACCGAGTTTGTTTACAATTTGCTCTAAAACCGCACATTTACCACCCTGCGATCTCCTCGCCCATATAGTGTCAAAGCTGTATCACCATGTATAACCCACCATGCTTTTCCTTCTACTATTCCCGTTAACAAATGGTAGCTATAGGGTGTCCCAGAAAGTATAAACACATTTTATTATTGGAATAAAACAACTCAAATTTTTATTTTATATAGGGCAAATGGGTGCAATGTCGGCCTAAATGCCCCTAAATTGGGCCCATATATAAATTCAACAATCGACTAAATTTTCCAAAGCGACCAAAAATATCCATAAGCACTGTCCCAATGACGCGTTCATCTAGATAAAATTAATAAACAGCATATTTTTAGCGATGGTCTCAATTTTAGATCCATAGGCCAACATTAGAGCCATTTCCTCTATATGTTCTCTATAGTATTCTCTTTCAAATGGTTGAAAATAATCCGCCGCTCCTTTATTCGTATGTCAAGAAGCGAACTTTTGATCTGACGTTGTCTATGAACTGCAGCACAGATTTCTTGGCTTTAATTTTGGCCACTTTTGTTCAGTCTTTTTCAACTTCTTCGATTGAATTCGCTGTTTCCGTAGACATCCCTTGGAAAGGGCCCAAAAAGTTTCGATTTACCAGGCCTCCGGACAATTCGGTGGATTCATCTCTTTTGGCACGCATTGCACTTTGTTTGCTTTGTAGCAAGCTACCGTGTCTTACTTTCAAGTAGTGCATTGACACCAAATGAGGACAAAAAAGGACTGGGCCATGATGTTTACTGATCATGGGCCGCGGACGACGATTCAAACACTCCCGAACGTAAATTTCAGTATCCATCGTCTCCTTCGTCACAAATGGCTTTGACAACTTGCCACACTCACGTATCGCTTGCTAAACCATGGCCTTCTTACCAAATTTTTCGGTAAAAATTGAATTTTCGGCATCGTCAACTTTCTGACCATCACGAAATGTGTAGTATTGTCTCCCGGAAGCGTCCTTTAGTAAAATTTGACGTATTTCATCGTTCATGATAACACACGCCAATTTTTCACACAGCAGCTATAACTTCCGAGCCCTCGGTTTGACGGATGCGACTTTTTTCTGACTCCAGTTTGGCCACTTCTGCATCTTGAACGTTCTCAGCCCATTCTTACTCTTCGATGTTCTCAGTTTTATGGCCAAATCTCGAACAGAGGCACTTTTCTTATTGACGAATGCTTGGTGATCTTCTGGTCCTTTTTTCGGTTCACCGGTCCCGGTTTACGGCCAGATTTCGATGTGTTCCCAAACGTAACTTCCAGATGGTGGTTTGGACTGCTCCGATACTTACTTCTTCCATTTTCGCCTACTTTCTTACTGATAGGTTGGGAATAAGGCACCATTTGTGCACGATCTGTTTGCGCTTTTCCGGGGAAATGCCTTGCATTTTTTCATTTAAATAATTTGAATATTGAACTTTTCATTTTCTAGGGCTCTAAATCACTACTGTAGCTTGAAAATTCTGTTTTTTATGCTGCTTCTTTTTATTACGTCCCTACTGGGACCTTACGTCGGTTCTCAGCTTAGTGTTTATCAAGCACATCCACAGTTGTGAATGGAGGGCTTGCTAGGCTTGTACCATTTTTGCATTAGTATAATTGCATGGTCAATCTATGTCCAGGGAAATTCCTAGTCTGGGCAGGGAATCGAACCCAGCCGCCTCCAGCATGATTTATAGCTGCGCCTTTACCGACTTAACTAAGGGAGGTCCTAAGGCTAAAGCTGATACTACCTTCAAATAAGTTGATTTTGAAATTTTTGGGCCTGGGCAAAAAAAAAAATACTTAGCGATTATTTTTTGCACAGGAAATATAGGGGAAATTAATGTAATGTCGGCCTAAATTCCCCTAATTTGGGCCCATACATAAATTCAAAAATCGACTAAATTTTCAATAGTGACCAAATATATCCATTAGTACCGTCCCAATGACGCGTTCAACTAGATAAAATTGATAAATAGCAGATTTTTAGCGATAAGCCCAATCTTAGATCCATAGGTCAACATTAGAGCCATTTCCCCGATATATTTTAATTTAGCAAGATTTTTAACACATTTTTG